TAGAGGAGGCGCAGAGAAAGATCAACTCCAGTATGTGAGTGATCTGTCATGAGTCTGATAAAATGGCTAATATTTGGCGATAATGGACATTTCCTTTTCTATACTCAGTCTTTGCATGTAAGCCTATCCTCAGTTGCCTTTGAGACGTCAGTGTTGGATCCTCTTTTTCTTGAGCTGCTGTGGTTTGTGCTAATGAGGAGGCGACTCTCTAATATCCTCTTGTTACAGAGTCATAGCGATGTACAGCACAGAAACAGACCCTTCGGTCTGTCCTGACCAGACATCCTAAATTAATCTTGTCCTATTTGCCGGCATTTGGCTCATATTCCTCTAAACCCTTCCTATTCATGTACCCATCCAGATGCCTTTTAAATGTTGTAATTGTACCAGCCTCCACCACCTCCTTTGGCAGCTCATTCCATACACACACTACCCTCTGCATGAAAAATTTGCCCCTTAGATCTCTTTAAAATCTTTTCCTTCTCCCCTTAAACCTTTGCTTTCTAGTTTTGGACTCCCCTACCCTAGGGAAAAAAAAGACCTTGGCTATTCACCCTATCCATGTCCCTCATGATTTTACGAACCTCTACAAGGTCACCTCTCAGCCTCTGACGCTCCAGGGAAAATAGCCCCAGCCTATTATGCCTGTCCCTATAGCTCAAATAGCAAGGAGATCTGAATTGAACACAGTATTCCAAAAGTAGCCTAACCCATGTCCTGTACAGCTGCAACATGACCTCCCAACTCCGTTACTGCTAAAGGAATAGTAATAAATTTTGGAGATTGGAGGTAACCTTGCTGTTTTGATCCTACTGCACTCTTTCTGACAAGTAAAAATTATTAGTAAAATTTCTGGAATCTGATATGTTGTGCAGATAAATGCTGTCATTGCTCAATCCTTGTGTGGAATGCTGGATCTATAGTTGAGAATACTTGGCATTGTTCTTAAACTATTCAGGATACTTCTATTTAGCTGCATCAAGCTCTCTGTTATCCTCTATACAACTCCTGTACAGTTAAATTACTTGCCATTGTCCCTCATTGAATAGAGAAAGGTGAGGCTTTATTGGAAGTGAATAAAAGAACCAATCTGAAGGAACAAGAAGTGCTGTTTGAACGGCTTGTTGTGAGTTTAAAGGGGCTTTGGTGAGTTTTCATCATGCTTTTGAAGGTGAAAGGCTCTGTATGCTTTCAGCATGTTCAGAATTTTAGTTTTTGAGGTTTACAGATTTTCTATGGGTGCATAATCAAGTTAAGATTGACTCGGAAATTAAGCGCACTGGTGCTTTAACAATAGTGTATAACCTTCCTATGGACAGATTTAGATAACTGAATCCCTGACTCTATCTGTTATCATCCAGCAAACAGCAGAAGGCTTAGCAGTACTGCCTTAATGGGTAGTAGTGAGATAGTCTCCTCCCCATGTCGTGTGCCTCAATCTACCTTGTGGAGGGACTGGTGATTGTGAGTGAATATGAATCAGTGGAGTGGGTCAGCCTGAGTGTTGGCCCTCGTGAATTTTTCCCCACCAGGGCAAATCCTGGACAGTTAGACCTTATTTGATGTTAGGTCTTCTCACAGCAGGTTGTACATTTGGCCAAGTGTGTGCGAAAGACCTTCTTTCGTTTCTCTATTTTCTGTGACTTGAAATGGCAGGATCGCTGCACAGATGGTCAATGACAGCGCAGTGCTTTCGGACATAATATAAATGTCTGACATTTCTCTTTGAAGGTTTTACTTCAATCTAAGGGTTAGCAGTAGTATGCTGGGCTGAATAGTCTCCTCTTGTGCTCTGATCTCCATGATTCTATCCACTCTAACCTTATAGGTAATGCTGCTCCTTCCTTGACGGAATATGACGCCCAATGAAAATGACAGAAGGGCAGCAGAGATAGTGGTTGTTTGTAATGAAAAGTTCACAGGGATAGAAAGAGTTAAGGCTAATGGAGGTATTTGAAGACAAGTGAGCATGAATGGACGTGAAATTAAGACCATTGTCATCTACATTGGTTTCATTGTGCAGAAGCCATCCACCCCCCACTGCCCACCAATCCCCAGAAGTTCTCCTCTTTCATTCAGATGAAAGAGAAAAAGGTGGAGTTTGGAAATTGAACTTCCTGAAAAGAGCAATAAATGAAAAATGGTAGCAAGGCAGGCGGGGTGGGCCAAAAAGAGATTGCCTGGTTGGATTCTGATCTGAAGCCTTTGTTGCTTTTCATTCTGTTAGTTAGAGGCTTCAAAGATCTTGTTGCATTGAGTATAAGATCCCTTCCCAAGTGTTGTATGTTAAGCAGTGATTGATGCTGAACTGTCCTGTGAAGGAGCTTAGCAAGTCATATAGGTATTCAGGTTGCAAAAATAAATACTGCAGGTTAATCAGTCCTTTCAAAAATGTTGCGGTTCTCTTTGAGAGGTATTGAAAGCAAAAAGTTATGTTAAGCTTGTATAGAACCTTAGATGGCCCAGTCTCCTGAGTGCATAGGCCCAATCTCCACATTACAAACATAGATACAGAGACATTGGATAAGGTGGCAAACAAAGGATTCACAATCATGATACCAGAACTGAAAGGTTATTCCAAAAGTCTGACCAGTCTTGGCTCTCTCCTGTAGAAAAGTAAAATAACTGTAGAGAGGCCAGTGTCCTGTCACCAAGTAATCCTTTATTTACTTCTGCACAGTACATGTACTCTGACCAGCAGCTCAAAGCCGGTCCCTAGAATGAGGAGACTCTGAATTTCCTGTTTATATCTGTCAGCTAAGACTTCCTGATTGGCCCAGAGTAACAACCTCAGTCAAGGATCTCATATGTCAGTGAATCTCCCTAGCCCTCGCTCCAATCACTACAAAAAGGAAAAGGCTGATTTAAGGTGACCTTTACGATTATGCAAGTGTTTGATATGGTAGACATGGAGAACATGTTACCACCTTAAAGGAAGAGTGGAACTAAAGGTAAATATGGAAGGTTGTCATGAATAAATCCATAGGGTTTCCAAGCAAAAGTTCTTCGTCCATAGTCATGAGAATGTATAAGGTGTTACCTGAAGTAGCAGATGAGACAAGTTGCATGGTTGTATTTAATGGGAGTTAGATAAACGTGAGGGAGAAAGGAAAAGGAAATTATATTTCCGGGATTGTTGCGTGAAGACAAGTGGAGCATGAATACCAGTGTGGACCAGTCCATACATTTCTGTGGTCTAGACCCTACATCAGACTATTACAGCACACGGCTCATCATTACCACCTTCTTGGGTCAAATAGCAATGAATAGGAATCTAGCCAGAGATGCCCGAATTTGGAGAGGGACACGAGCAGAGAGGCAATGGTGAAGCCATGTTAATCCCAGGAAGCACATGCTACTGAAGTTGCAACTAGGATTGCTGTAGGACAGTAATTAGGCAGAGGTGGTTAGGTTGGGGGAGGTGTGTGTGTAATGCTTCCTGTACATTTTAATAATATTTATGATCACTTTGGAACTGTCTGCTTTCAGGAGAATGAAGGAGGAAAGGGAAAAGCATAAATGGTACAATTAGGATCGACCTTTGGCTCAGGAACTATTACAGCTCTCAGTTACTTACCCAAATGATATTTGCCTATTCTCATGTGAGTCATCAATAATGTGCCTAATTCAATTGATTTGACTGACTCATATGCTGTTTACGATGGATGTTACTTTAAAGACCAGTGTCTGAGGTGTGCATTACAGCTTGGCTTTGTGTGTTGCTATATCTGTGGAAAGCAGATGACAAGATTATGCCAGTATCCACAAAAACAGAAGTCGTGGGAGATGGGATCAATGGAAATTTGAATGGTCACTGATTTCTGGTTTGAACTGGTTTCTTATGCAGGAGTATGAAACTGTGACAGTGAGGATGGGTTCTTGCTTCTTATTGACTGTCTGTGTATAAGCTGAGCCACAATGCCAACTACAGTACAGGAGAAACTGCTAACACTCGTGTGTCAATAAAACTGTGTAGAACTAATTGTCAGTAATAGGATAGGGCCCAAAGGAGAAAAGAATATGGAGTGAGATTGAGTCCAGAATTTACTTGGAGCTGCCTGTACTGAACTAGGCTTAAACTCCATGACATTCTGAGTCTTAATGTAAAGAATAGGCATCTGGATGGGTATATGAATAGGAAGGGTTTAGAGGGATATGGGCCAAATGCTGGCAAATGGGACTGGATTAATTCAGGAGATCTGGTCAGCACGGACGAGTTGGACCATAGTGTTTGTTTCTGTGCTATATAACTGTATGATTCTAGTAGACCACTCAGCCCATTGAGCCTGGTCACCATTCAATAAGATCAAAGTCTGATTTTAACCTCAAGTCTACATTCTTTTATATCCCCAATAGTCTTTCTTGATCATCAATGCTCTGTCCATCTTTGACATTAAAAAATTTTTAAAGATTCTGCATCCAGTGCCTTTTGGGAAAGGAAATTCCAAAGAGAGTCAACCCTCTGAGAGGAAAGATATTTCCTAATCTGTCTTCAAAGGGTGACCCTTTATTTGAACTATGACCCATAGTCCTAGCTTCCCCTACAGGCGGAAACATCCTTTCAACATCTACTTGGTCAAGTCCCCTCAGGATATTCTATGTTTCAACTAACTTAGGTCTGACCAGCATCCTGCTACCCTTCTTGTCAGCACATTTGGCTTGACAGAACGAAGTACAAAACCGAGTTTGTAATGTTCTTGTTCAGCAAAGATACCAAGGGACACGCAGCCAAAGCTGGTACACCATCTTGCGATCAGGCACGATCCATATAGCAGGAAAGGGAAGGCCACTGATGGAGGTGACTCGCTGACCTCCTGGTTCTACTCTTGTCCCAACCTCCGTCTGAGGAACACTCTCTCTGAAGGAACATGCTTTCCACGTAGTGCACCAAACACTGGAAAGACCACTGGTTAGAGATACTGTACCGCTGTCTGATGTTAGAGCCCAGTGACAAAAAGACCTGGCACATTGACAGTCTGTTTTTCTTTTTGTCTTTTCAGACGTGGAGATTTTGACATGAACGCATTTGACTGATGGGGCCCTGTTGAGAACAGATATCAAACACAGGTTGCTTCCAGGGAGATCAGGAAGAGAAAAGAGACAAGCTCACCATCTGGTAAGAAGGGTTTATGTGTTTACACTCTCACAGCACAATGCATTTTGCATAATGTACAAGAGTTATTATCGCATTAAAACGTTGCTTGGCGTCAATGGGTAAAGGTATCACATCTGCCTTCTGGCTGTCAGTTGAGTGTGGTCTATCTGTACAGTACGTCCTTTTGAAGTTCATTTTTGATTGTAGTGGGATGTACCTGGAGCATGTGAAGGCAATGTGATGATCTGGGGTTGATGGGGGTTGTGCTGAGGTGCTTAGAAGGGAGAGACTAACTGAATTGTGAAGCTAAAAGCATCCACTGTGCTTTCCTGTACTCTCTCTCATCACCCCAACCCATCCCAAACTCAAAACAACTGGTAGATACTTAACATCCAAGAAAGATCAACAGTTTGGAAATTAGATTGTTCTATAAATAAAGTTGCACAAACATGTTGATGATTATCATTATGTGGTGTCATTGAAAGATCTTGACTTGGACCTTCTGAGATCCTCCATGTTGGATGTTAAATGATGCGAACCACTCTGTGCTTGCCTTTCTTTTCTACATGTTTCAATCCATATCTTCCCCAATGCCTTTCACAATGCCACCACCGGACTTCATTGGGTCAATTGGTAGGTTCACGCCAACCACAAATGGTGATTGCGGTCTTGCCAGTGTTGCCCATCCATGTCCTCACATAAATAACAAAACACAAAGCCGTACTGAATTAGCCTGGTGCTGCTTGTGCCCAATTTTTTTTTCTTTATTCATTCACGAGATGAGGGAGTCACTGGCCAGGCAGCATTTATTGCCCAACCCTAATTGCCCAGGGGGCAGTTAAGAGTCAACCACATTGCTGTGGGCCTGGACTCACATGTAGGCCAGACCAGGTAAGGGTGGCAGTTTCCTTCCCTAAAGGACGTTAGTGAACCAGATGGATTTTTCCGACAATCGATAATAGATTCACGGTCATCATTAGATTCTTAATTCCAGATATTTATTAAATTCAAATTCCACCATCTGCCATGGCGGGCTTTATACCACACCACCCTCTGCCAGTTTCCTTTGGGGCTCAAGGCTGCAGCCTTCTGTTCTAGATAGTACAACAGCGCAAGAGGTACCTGCCCAATTACAGTGAGATCCCATTCATCGGCCAGCCCAGTGCTTTCTAAGCACAGGAGGACCTAATGGTGCCTGTTTTCAATATCTGCTTCAGGATTGTCTTTGCCATTGATGCATCAATGCCTTAGTTCTTGTGGAAACACGTGGAAAATGGGATATCTGCAATGCAGCATCTCATGCGAGGTTGCATTTTAAAATATTTAAATTATTGATGTCTTGACACAGTAATTTGTTTTGCCGCAGTGTACAATCAGCAAACCTCAGCCAAGCAGGTAGCTACTAGATAAACAGGAAGGGCAGTTTATTGTCTCGTTTTAATTTCAAAAACTCGAAAATAGTCTTAGAGATTCAATAGGGCAATTAAAAGTAATTTCTGACTGGGAAAGTTTGAGTTGGTTGTTAGACAAGGAAGGATTTAAACCACCATCAACTCCCAGCAAGTGAATGACACTGCAGATAGGTGAAGCCTCTCTGCTCCTATGATGCTGCTTGGCCTGCTGTGTTCATCCAGCCCTGCACCTTGTTGTCTCGGATTCTCCAGCATCTGCAGTTCCTACTATCTCTGACACTGCAGATAGGTTTCTTTTGGCTCATCTGGGTCCAATTTTAACTCAAAACCCATTCACTTGCATTGAGTTAAAATTGGGCTTGCATTTGTCTCTCAGTGCTAGAGCACAGGCTTAATGCTGCAAAGAGGTGATAAATGGAGACTTGCATGAAAGCACCTTTGTTTTCCAACTTCTAGATTTTCCAAAGCTCTTTACAACCAATTCAAGTACTTTTGGGTTGATATGATGTGGGAAACACAGCAGCCAAGCTGTGAGCAGCACCCCCACCTCAGAACCCTGGGCTCAGGTCCCACCTGTTCCAGAGGTTTATCATAAAATCATCATAGAAACCCTACAGCATGGAAACAGGCCCTTCGGCCCAACAAGTCCACACTGATCCTCAGAGCATCCCACCCAGACCCACCCCCCTATAACCCACCTAATCTACACATCCCTGGACACTATGGGCAATTTAGCATGGCCAATCCACTTAGCCTGTACGTCTTTGGACTGTGGGAGGAAACCGGAGCACCCGGAGGAAACCCACACAGACATAGAGAGAATGTACAAACTCCACAAGACAGCTGTGCGAGGGTGGAATCAAACCTGGTCCCTGGTGCTGTGAGGCAGCAGTGCTAACCACTGAGCCACCGTGCCGCCCTTGTGCTGGTGTGTAATACCATCTCAGAGCAGGTTGATTACTGAGTAGTTTCTTTTTGTAGCAAGCTCTGACATGCAGCAATCTTGTAATCATCGGATGTTAAATCTGCGGAAGACCCTTGCTCTACTACAAATACTGCTTTATCCCAAAGATGGCGCCTTCAACCGTGCAATATTGCCCATTACCACACTGGAGTCCCAGGATGGATTTTGTGCTCTATGACTGTGACTCCATGCCTCAGGAGAGACATTTGAACCTAGAAGCCTCTGACTCAGAGGCAAATGTTGTACTTTATATCTAGTACATTTAGAGAGATGATTGCCGCTTTAATGTGCACTAACAGGTTATTGGCAGTGATTTGAAGTTTTGCTCCATGGTAACAGCTCTAACACTTTATTCACTTTGCTCTCAGTCTGCCCAAATCAAGCACGGTGAGAGTAAATAGAGTGTTGTAATCAAACTCAGAACAATTGAACACTGTAATAAAAGTGCTACTCACTGACTGAGCCATGGGTGATGGGTGCCTCATGGATGTGAAAAGGAAGGATGCATGGGTGATGGTGCGGTTCCATTTCCCCAAGCTTTCAGATACATTCAGGAGGTTGGAATGTGGGCATGGTTGAAGTGGCATCACTTCATTCCTCACTGCAATCCTGGAGTGCCGACAGTAAGCTTGGTGGAAGCATTTAGCTGCCTGCATCACCAGGCACAGGAGACCAGGGGTTTGTGGAAAATGGGATGAAAAACGGTGGGGGAGAAAAAAAGCACGAAAGGAGGTCTGTTGGCTCAGTGGTTAGCACTGCTGCCTCACAGCACCAGAGATCCGGGTTCAATTCCAGCCTTCGGTGACCGTCTGTGTGGAGTTTGCGCGTTCTCCCCGTTTCTGCGTGGCTTTCCTCCGGGTGCTCTGGTTTCCTCCCACAGTCCAAAGATGTGCAGGTTAGGTGGGTTAGCCAGGGTAAATGCAGGGATGGGATGGGATGGGTCTGGGTGGGAGGCTTTTCCCACCAGGAAGTATCAGTGTAGACTTAATGGGACGAATGGCCTACACCTGCACTGTAGGGATTCTGTTTGCTCACAGCTTCTGCCGTATTTATTTGGAACAGCTCTTGCCAAAGAAATCCACACAAGTAAATACTTGTGAGTGGCGCTGAAACCTTTGTTTAGGTGATGATCACCCAGTTACAGTGGCTGGCCACTTTCTGATGCTTGTTGATGATGAGCTTCAGTTGGAATGCAGCTGAAAGTGTTGCATTGTGAGCCTGTCTATGCAGCCGTGTCTAACAGCTCCACAATGGTGTGTGGAACACACTGTGCTTCCCTTATCATGCCATTCACCCACTCCTTTAGTGTAAAGGAATGTACCAGAGTACAATGAAACAAGCCAGGCTTTCCTAGGCAGAGCGCTCCAAACGTTGTTTGACTCTGGAGCCAACTTTTCCCTCCCTTCCTGAATCCTGTGAGCTAAGCATTTTCTTTGAAGAGGGTCTGTGGAAGCTGAGGAATATCCACAACACCATGCACCCAACCTAGCCCTCTTATCAGCTGCTGAACAGAGTTCAACACAATATATAAGGGTGCCTTTTGCATTGCTTTTATGTTTCTTTGAAAGTGCTGCTTGTTGCTAGGCTAAATTTTGATGGGTGCTCACAGCTATTCCCCAACTACCCAAGTGACCATTCAATGAGGCAATAACAAACTTCATTTATATACCGTGTTATAGACCAGACCAAACCCCCTTCAAATGTATCAAGGAGACACCTTAACTTTTACCTGAATTAAAGACAAGTGTAAGGTGCTGTGTTCCAGATGTAACTTGTTTAGTTACTCTACTTGCCTACAATTGAAATAGAAACAAAAGAAAGAAGAATTGGTATGACTTTAATTCTATGGGAAAACAGAATAATAGATTATTTAACTACTAAACAGTAACTGTTCCAATATAGTATCATCCCATAAATGCAAACTTGGCAAAGGCAAATTTAGTCAAATAGATTGTCTAACATCCAATTCTCCCATCCAAGATGAAAGAACACCTGGAGAAAATTCTGTTAGAGAGAGAGAGAGGTACGACAGCTCCCACAACCAACTTCAAAAACCCAACAACTGCTGAAAGGTAAATAAAATCCTGGTTCTGTGGGAACCTGTCTCCACCCATTCAGGCTGCTTATATTGTTCCAACGTTTAAAGAAAAACCTATGGCTCAAAACCTCTTTGAGAAAAAAACTAGGACAAAATACACCTCTTTAAGCCATACTATCTCAAGGGGCTTTGCAGGCTCTTAATTTCATTTGATTTTGAGTTTGATTTGAGTGTGATTTTACTGTCATATGTGTTTTACAATAAAATACACTGAAAAGATTTCATTTGTTGCCATGGTATGGCACCATTTTGAACAATTTAGTAATAAGGGAGAAAAGATATAGCTTGACACTGCTCTGGATATTTGACATAAAGACTGGTGTCCAACAGCTTGACTGTGGAGGTTGTTTCTGATGAGCATCTTAAAAGAGGAGAGGGATTAGGAGCACAAGAGAGAGGGAATTCCAAAGCCCAGGTGGTTGAAGTTACAGACCACAGTGGTTGGGCATTGTAAACTGTAGCCTCGAAGAGGGTGAATGGGAGGAATGCAGCGTTCTCCAGAGGATAGTGAGGGTTAAGACCCCCACCTTCCCACTCATTCCCCATC